GCAAATTGTCCAATTGATTTTAGGCTTTTCCTGATCGCCTTTAAAGCCTTTCTGGGTCTGGCCAGAAGCTGCAGAAATGTCGACTCCAGACGAGCCTCGGATCTTCAGGTGAAGATCTTAAATCTAAAGGCGGCGACTTGTCATCAGGGTCCCTCAGCTTTGGACCAACCTGCCTGAGGAGGTGAGGATCAGTCACTTCGTCTAAATCATTTAATTCCTTTTTTTTCTTACTTTTTCCCTTTTTTCTGACTTTGCCATCTGGATGTTCTGCTCCTCTGTTACTCAGTAAACTGTTTCTATAAGCTGCAAAAAGCTTTTTTAAACTACGTTTTCTTCTTCATTGTCTCGTTCTGCTTCTTAATGTTCTTCTTGTTCTTCCTCTTCTTATTTTCTTTCTTCTTGTTTGGGTTCTTGTCTTCATTTTGGTTCTTGCTCGTTCCTGTTTTTCTGCGTCTTCTGCTCCGTGTTGCTCTCGTTCTCACCGTTCTTTTTGTGTTCTTGTTCTGATTATTATTGTTTTTTCTCCGTTTTTTTGTTCTTATTCTTGTTTTTTGTTTTTCTTCTGGTTCTTCTTCTCATTTTGGTTCTTCCTCTTGCTTTTGTTTGTGTTCCTGTTTATCTTCTTTCCCTATTCTTGTTTTTTTTTCATTTTTTTGTTCTTATTCTTGCTCTTTCTCTGCCTCTTCTTCTCAGTTTGTTTTTCCTTTTCTTCTTCTTGTTTTGTCTTATTCTTGCTGTTCTTCCTTTTCTTTGTGTTCTTGTTTTTCTTCCTCTTTTTGCTGCTCTTGCTCTCCTTCGTATCATCATTACCACACAGCTGGACGTTTGCACTTTAAAACTGTGCTGAAGTGAAGTCGGGTCATGTAGACTTCAACTGGGACAAAAATAAAAGAGCTAGCCTCATCCAGACACCCAGAATAGGCCCAGAAGTACACCGTACTTCAGCAGTACAGTCTGTTCTCATGGTGTTTACGTTGGTTTTTTATAAATAGCCGTATTTCCAATCCAGCATCTTACGCTGTGGTCTGTGAATGGGATGTTGGCGTATTATCCCTCAGTGTGCAGAGAGGCAGCAGCAGACAGGTGAAGGCTATCGATCCGAGCACAACATTACAATAACTGCTCTCATCGTGCTGCCTGCCAGTAAACAAAAGAAATGATGGTTCATCGTCTCGACAGGATGTCTGTCCGGCAGACCTTGTCCGCTGGTATTAGTGCATCATTTAGGATTAATATCAGTCACAGTTTGACACTGATACGGCTCCTGGCAACCGCGCAGGAATGAAGTCGTCTCTGAAGTTCTGAGGAGGCGAACTTGTTTCCATCGCCTCGCTGAAGCCCTCCTGATGTTCTGCAGCTCTGCCATCATTTATGACCCATTGTAGGTCATAACTGTATACTAAAACATCTTATATCACCGTCCACAGAACCTCAAATGTTCATCATTTCTTTGCCGGTGACGTCCTTTGAAAACCAAAACATGGACAAGACGAAGCTGTGATCAAGTATCTGCATAAAAAGAGGAAAAACCCAAAGAAACCCATGAAGACATGGTCCCATTTGGTGAGGAATCCTCTTGCTATTGACCCATAAAGAAGTGGTTTCCTGTTTTGAAGCGAGCCGGTGAAAGCACTGAAGCTGACACACGGTTAGGACGCCACAAAATCAGCGACCACGGACGATCGAGAGGAGTTCATTCACAGCACGGTCATGATGTGTGACCGTCCAACACGTAGTGGAAACCATGGACATCGGCGTTGGCTCGGTTTACGCTGTTTGGACCGACACCCTGGGGATGAGCAAACCGTCTGCGAGATGGACGCCTGAGGATGGAAACTTTGAGGACCCCGTTGGCTCAGTTTGTGACCCACGATGAGACGAGGGTTCACCACTTTGACCCGAAGCAAACAAAAGGAAGCACACTGGTTCTCCTGCTGCAAAAAATGTTCAAGCAAGTGGCACCTGTCGGCCAGGTGATGCCCTCTGTGTGGAAAGTGAAGGATCGCTCATGATTGGCTTCCTGATAAACAGTCAGACCATAAATGGGACTATATGCACCAGAACTATGTCATCTAAAGGAAGGAGCGTAAAGCTTGAAGCTGGAGGGATGTTGCTCCAGGACAAATGCAGAAGCAGCCAAATGGGGCTTTAAGCTGTTGCCCCATGAACCTCACTACCTACACCATCTGCCCTCGATCTGTTCCCCAGAGTGATGATGAAGTCATGCATGCTGTTGAGGAACATCTGGAAGCTCAAGATGTGACCTCCTTCTGTGAAAGAACAGAGAAGCGTGAACATCAGTGGACCAAGTGCACTGGAGTTAAGGAGATAATGCACCAACAGTCTTTGTGACGTTTTCAGGTGAGTCCAAGAGCTTTCAGATGTTCAGATATTCTACAGTAGAGCCAAACAGCAGGAGCCTCACTCAGCCGACCTGCATTGTCTGACTTCTGTTTCCCAAACTGAAATCCCGCTTGCCGTTTCCTGAGCGATGATGAGGCCATGCATGCCGCTGAGGATTCTCTGGAGGCCAAAGATGTGACCTTCTACCATGAAGGGAAGTGAACCGAGTGCATGGAGGCTAAAGGAGACTAAAAATATTGGAAGAACAATCTTCCTCCTGCTCACCTTACTCATCCGACTTCTGTTTCCCAAACTTGCGGAGCGATGATGAGGTCGTGCATGAGAAGAATCTGGAGGCTCAGGATGTGAATCCAGGAGGCCGTGTTTAAAACACAACAATCCTCCTTTTTTTGGTGAGGCCGAGAACTTTTTGAACTACCCTCCCAGGCTAGAGCACGCTCGTACTTAGACTTCCTTGCACATCGCACGATTGAGCTAAAACCAAAAGGTCCGGCAGCACCGAGTCCTGTGCCGTTGTGGAGGCCACTTTGATGTCCCGGCGCTGCGAGGAGCAGAGCAGGGCGCTGTGGACGGAGTGTATTTAATCACTGGAGCCCAGCCAGCACACAAACACACACTCCTTCATCTGACCTGCCAATAGCAATAATATGCGTCCTTCACTTATCATTTTCTACCATCTATATTATTATGCCCCCCCAACCCCTCCAACCTCAGCACAGCAACACAGCCTCATAGATCCTCTGAAGCTCCCCCCAAAAACCCTCAACCATCCTCCCTGTGCAGCAGCAGCAGCAGACTGCAAAGCACTGCATTCCTCATGACTTCTTCTGCTTCTTTTTTTTTTTCTAATAAATGTGATCCCAGAATCCGGGGAGGGAGACCAGTGCTGTGCATTAAAATTCATGGGAAAAAATGGCAATAAAATCTTTCTTTCTCTCTCTCGGTTCCCTTCTTTCCTCTCCCCTACTTGCTCCCCTCACCCCTTCCTCCTCGCTCTCTCCTTCCCTCACTTGTCGACTCAACACACATGCATGCAGTTCTTTTTTTTTTCATCATCGTCATCCGTGCACACACACACACACACACACACACACACACACACTCTCTTTCGTTCAATCTCCTAACCCTCCTACTGGCTCGTCTTTCTCAGCATCCCCCCTGCCGTCCTTCATCCTTTATTCTCTTCCTCCCTCCCTCCCCCTCTGTCTCTTTTCTCACACACACACACACACACACACACACACACACACCCATCTATATTTTCCAACTCCACCTCTGGCAGGTTGTGATTTCCACTGTCAGAAATTGCTTTTTCAATATCTCTCTCTCTAATTATGAGCCCAGCTAAAGGGGTCGTGCCACCAGAATACCAATTTTTCCACCATTTCTCTCCTTCTTCTGCAGAATAATTCTTCCAGGTAACAACAATGTGCACGTTCAGTACACAGCCATGCAGCCTCGTCCCTATTGCACGCCTTATTGGGCTCCTGCCTCCATCCAGCCCTTGTTTTCTGCTAATGTCTGGTCATCTCTCTGTGGTTCGTTTGTTTTCACGTGCAGAAAAGATGATGCAGATATTTAAACTCTATTTATTTCTACAGGATGAAATAAAACAGAGGGAGGGAGGGATGTGAGAGTTTTTGAATGCATTGCTGGGTTTTGTGGGGAGAAGAAAAAAGGAAAAGAAAAAGGGAAAACCGCTGAATCTTGATACAGCCGCCGCACAACTCCTCGCATTCTCCATCACTCCCAGCAGCCAGCGAAGGGTTAAGCTTGTAGCGCCGCGTGATTGACGTGCGGAGCATTGTGCTGCCCGCGACGCTCCAATCACAGAGCGGTCGCCGCGCCCCACGTGGGGCGATCCGAGCGCTCATTGGCTGCTTTTTACCAGTATTTACTGTGCCGAGGCCGAGCCCCACGTGGAGATTTCATTCAATCACTGAACAATTCCTGCGAAGGAAGACAAAACATGCACTTTATGAAAAAACAGAAAATAAAACCACGATTCCCCAACATGCATGTTCAACTGCATGCCTGTGACACAGAGGAGAGTGTGTAGATGTGCACACACAGGGAGGCTAATGCACAGCAGCGTTGTGCAAATGCTCTGATTTACAAACTTGGATTAAAAAAAAGGGACGAAATTGTATTTATTATTATTATTATTATTATTTAATAAAACAGCGGCCCAGAGCGTGTGTAGTGTGTGAGGCCGTGTGATGAAGCAGCTCTGTCCCATGGAGGAGCGGCGCGGGGGGAGCGGGGTGAGGGTGAGGGGAGGCCAGCGAGCAGACAAAAGAGGCTGCGGCTGCATTCACTGCGCTGCTGCTGCTGCTGCTGCTGCTGCTCAGTCCGGCTCCGAACCACAAGCAAACCACATTCTACCCCTCAGCCACCTCCTCCTCCTCCTCCTCCTCCTCCTCCATCCAGCTCTGGCCTCGGTGCTTTTTTTTTTTTTTTTGAAAATACACCGAAGGAAAGGAGAGAGAGGAGAAAACAATCTGACGATATTGCTGGAAGCGCGCAAGTTGAGGACTTGGAAGAGCGAGAGAGAGAGAGAGGCGCTCCGTGGGACGGATCGGCCGGACCGGGTGTTCCTCGTCCCCCTCCGTCCTTTACTACGCGGCGCTGCGGTGCGGGCTGGAGCACATATCAGCCAGAACAAAGGAGTCTTGAAGCGAGGAATGAGCGAGTCGAGACTAGCTCTGCGTTCGCCTCTGAATCGCGGCCAAATGCCTCAGTGAGAGACCGACGGTACCACAGCGGCTGCTCGCATTTTCTCGACGAAGCTTTCCGCCCCGAAAAGGGAGAAAGAAGCAGGGACACAGAAAGAAGACGCGCACGGGGACGCACAAGTCGGCGGCTACGATGTTTCCTCAGAACCGACCCCCGGTAAGTAGGCTGGCCGCGGACGGGCTGCACGCGCACAAATCCGGTTCTGGTCGTGAATACGTTGTGTTTGCTCGGCGCTTGTTTTCAGCCTTTTTTTTTTCGGAGACTGTGTGTGTGTGTGTGTGTGTGTGTGTTTCCCTCCTTTGTGGGTTTACTCTGCATCTCACATTGTTGGTCTCCACATCAGTGTGTCTCCTGAAGGTCAGGCCACATTGTGGGGCTTTATAGAGGCAAATAAGAATAAATGCCCCCCTCCTCCTCCCCAACAACATCTAACTTGTGTGCTTGGACCCTGCTGTCCTCGGCGGCCACCATCCCCAGGACCCAGCACCAGGCTGGAAACATGGAGCCTCCCTCCATCGGCACACTATTGTGGAGTTGACCCAGATGATGAAGTGTGTGTTTGTTTGTCCCTTTTCCTCAAGAGCTGTGTGTGAGGAGGGGAGGGAGGGGGAGGGAGGGGGAGGGAGGTGAGTCAGCTTGGCTTGTTGTCACCTCCTCTCAAGTGCCACTCATTGTTTTCACAAATTCAGCCCCCCTGAAAGCAGGAGTCTTCCCCATTTATACCCCAAAACCCAACCAGGAAGGTGAGAACAGCAGCATGTAGGAGATGTTCTGTCTGAGCCTCCTGATGGATCCTGGAGCAGAATTCATGCTGCATGGCTTTAATTTGTTTGAGCCGAGTTTAGGTGGAGAGCTTTCGAGCAGACTGAAATACATAAACACTGGTCCTCCAGCTGCGTGAAGCATCAATTAAGACCTGCTCATTTGCCTAACCCTCTCCTGCCACCCTGCACCCACCCCCGACTCTGTTTTGACATTCGTATTGAAATCAGATTGGGCTCGTTGTGGAGGATGAGTTCAGCTTTTAATTGAATCTTCGCCGATTCGGTCAAGCAGGTGATTTTTACGGTTTTCCCTCCACCAGCTAGGGTTGCATTGTGACTTCAGTTTCATCCTGCACTTCCGTCTGGGCGATAAGGAGACCCTCCTCCTCCTCCTCGTCCTCCTCGTCCTCCTCCTCCTGCTGCTGCTGGCCAAACATACAGCACATACAGAAACACTACACAAACACCAGCAGCTGTGTGTAGTGTTGCTGAGTGCAGGAAGGCAGGGCAGGAGGCAGACTGTGGCTCTGTGGTTTGCACTGTAAACCCAATCCCTCTCATCCAGCCTCTCCTCGCTGTGTTCCTGTGAGAGCTCCAAACCACATCTTAATGTATGGGCAGGCGTCCCAGGGTGAGAGTAGCAGACTGCGGCGGGTCTCGGGTGGAATGTTTAGGCCCGCCGGCCCCCCGTTTCATTTCAGCTGCGACCATGTGAGGCCGAGCCGTCATCAGGAAAGTCTCCGGCCATCAGCGCCTCTTGTTTGCACCTCGGAGTGAAGGGCCACTCAGCCCGGCTAACTATTTAATCTCTGAACTGCTACGCTGGCAGTAACCTGTCATCGCTGGATGCTGGCGTGCTGTGAAGGAAGTGACCCACATACTATATAAACATGCAGCCTGTATCGTCTAGAAGGCAGATATCTTTTCCTACACAAACGCACAAATCAGATAAAGGTTAGGCTAATAATAGCATCCCAAAGAGAAAAAACTGGCAGCTTGTTTCAGGGATGATTTAAATGTACTCGTTTTGCATTCAGGTGCATTTTTAGCCTCTGAACACAGACTGTGTGTTTGCATTTAACCTTCATCTGGTTATCATGTGTAGGAAATGAAAGGAAGGAAGGAAACCCCCCAAACAGCACAGACGTACCACGTAAAGCTACACATTCTCTGATTTTACTTCAACAAATCAGAAGATTCTGTTTTTTATGCGTTCGCTAAATGACAGATGTTGGAACCTGAACGCTATTTTCTTTGATTTGCTGCGACGGCATTCATTTAAATCCCCAACAGATGAGATGTTGGTTTGGAAACACGGCGACGAGAAACTATCAGATGCTGAAATCCTATCAGAGAAATAACGATGAATAAATGGTAGAACTTTGCCGTGTTGGCTGACTTTTCAGAAACATTCCTACTGGTTCCTGATTCTTCTAGAAACTTGTAATCGGCTGCTTGAAGTATTTGACTGTTGTAACCTAATAACACACACACATATTTATAGTGTCCACAACAGGCAAAAGAATTAAAATATCTGATTTTATTCACACATCTTCATGCACAGATGAAACACACGGAGCCTAAAGTTCTCCTGGACAGAGATTAGAAATGTAATTCTGCACACGGACGTCACGGCGACACCACCGAGCACACGCTTCAGGTTCTCGTCTGCTCCCAGATGATTTCAGGGATCCAGAATGATGCCAGAATCGGTAGACGAGCCGAGAAGCGTATAGGACATGGCAGGCATGACTGGCTGTCTCGGATCCTTAGCGTTCCTTCAAATCTGCCGCTGTGGCAGGAGCACGGGCTGGAAGTGAATAAGAAAGAAAGCACGACATCAAAGCAGAATATAAAATAGTTTTCAAATCAGAGAAGAAAAAAAAATGTTTTGTGGGCTTGTAATGACAAAACTAATACATGAACTAAATAATAAATGAAATGAGAGGAGGCGGCGACGTTGGGAGGTCGGTGAGCGCTACGGTCCATCTGATTGGTTCTGAACACATTCTTCTGTCGGTGAAGTCTGTGGGAGATAACAGAATCATCACCGAGAGACTGAAGACATGAAAACCTCTCAAAGGTCACAGTGAGATTGGTCCGAACAGGCCTCCACCAACCATTTCATCCAGAACAATGGCCCGGGCTGGGGGAGGGGTTCGTCAGGAGACCACTGCTGTGGGGGGAACCCTGGATAAATGGTTGTAATTTAAGCCCTTCTGCCAGATTATAAATGTTTATTATCCTGCAACTAGCGGCTTATATGTGCTGTTGTTGTGTCGGCTGCATGCTTTTAGCCGATATTAAAGTGCAAGCCCTGCCACAACAATATCAGCGCTAAAGACGGAGCATATGCAGGTCACTTGATCTCTAGTCTCACATCGTCAGACCGTTCTGCTGCATGTTCATCCTCTATAGGAGGAAACGCTCTGTTTCTGTTTGCGTTCATTTAGAACAGGCTTGTTGGGTGGAGCAGGAGGAGAGGATGCAGCAATATCACGATGTTTTGGGCGGAACATTCGCACGCGGGGAGTCGAGAAGTGTCATTAAAACGGATAATTCACCATAAAACTAGTCCGGCTACCGTAATGCATGACCCAGATCCTCAGCCGAACTTTACATTTTCAGCGTGGTGGGTCGCTAACCTGAAGGTGGGGGTGTTTCTATCATGTAGATAGCTGCAGGGGTGGAGACGGCTGCAGGAAATGTGAGGCCCACGGCAGGCTGACACCCGTAGTCAGCGCTGGGTGAGTCGGACCGCTGACCCACCGGCACCGAGTGGCTTCATGAGGTTCATGTGTGCAGGAACAAACACTGAGGAGCATCAGATCACTGAATATTCATAAAAACATGATTGTCTACCTCTTTGCTAAACCAGGGAAGCTTTTTGAGAAGGTCTGTATCTGCTGGTTGGAAATGTGTGAAGATACCATTCCTAATCTTGGACCAAATGTGAAATTTAAGCTGCAAGAATATTCAAGAATATTCAAGGTGCACGCTGCAAAATCAAGGAACACGCCTTACACGCAAGAAAAAATCTGTATTTCCAGCACCAGCGTGGCGTCTCCTCCTATAACCCGACATCCCAAAGTCTTTCTAAAATAATATCCAGACGGTGAAACACAGATAAGGTCAGGCAAGGGACACGGAGCCAAGAGTGACTTTGAGACGAGGCCTTCTCCTCTCCACCCTCAGAGCTAGCATAATCCAGCCTCCACTTCCTCCGTCCTAGCATGCTTTTAGCTCTTTATCACCACTGTTGTCCAGCGGTGAGAGTGTGGCTATCGATCAGGAGCTCGGCCGCTCTGCCCAGCCAGCGATTAGAGAGAGAGAGAGGGAAGGAAAAGGCAGAGGAGAGTGAAGGAGAAGAGGCTGAAGGGATCTCAGGTTTACACAAGCTGTTGTGGAGGTGCGTCTCGGTGGAAGGAACAAACGAGCTGAGGGGGTTACCTAATAAAAGAAGGCACCTCCAGCAATTAAGCCAGCTGACAGGCAAACTGTGGTGCTCTGCTAATGTGGGCTGACAGCAGGGAAATTTGAATAACGAGGCTTGCGGGAGGAAGGAGACAGGAGTGAGGAGGTGGTGGAGGGGTGGGGGGTAGAAAGGAAGATGTGTGGCACTAATGAAACAGGTGCCTGGCAGCCCCTCCCCTCTAAGTGGAGGAATCATTGAGAGATTACCGGCACGTTTCTCCACGCTGATCGCTGCTTGATGTCAGGTGGAGGGTGGGGGCAGCGCTCCTTCCACGCCGCGAGCCGCTTCGACGATGCAAATGAGCGAGACGCCGCGTTTGAATCCGACATGAAAGCCTTTAAGTTTGGATGTTTTGCGAGCGCGGACGCTGTGTTGACACGTTTGGCTTCCCTCGGAGACGGATAGGTGTGTTTCTCGGCGTGGGTGGGTGGATTCGCGCAGATGCAGATTCGGACACGCTGCTCTGAGTTAGACCGACTGGCAGCGCGTCCGTGGTGGTGGTGGTGAGATGAGAAAGGGAAGGAGAGGCAGAGAGCTCGGTGGGTGTTTACGCTGATGATCGACTCTGTGGGTAAGCAGTGTAATTAGCGGCCTGACTAATGGGCTGAGCTATATGAAGGGAGGCAGCGGCGAAGCATCTCCTGCTGGAGGAGACGGACACAGAGATGGAGGCTGAGGAAACAAATCAACATACATCCGATGGAGCTTTCTGTTTCTGCTCGTGGCGCAGCTTTAGGACACGTTGACCCGGACCAAAGTATCCCCACAACTAGATGAAGATGACATTTAGCAGAAACTTGTGGTTCTCTGGCAGTGAGTCGTGGGTCATGAGGTTCTAGTTTATTCTGAGTGAAACGGTGTCGACTCCTGCTGTAAGATTTGAGAGCATTTTGGAGATAATGAACCTTTTTGGTAAC